CTTTTTTGTTGTTATATACCTGGATGACTGAGAAAACAAACTTTGTGTACCTGTGAACAGAGTTCACCTCATCTCGAAGCAAACATCGTTCATGTGTGTGTTTTAAACTGTTAAAATAAGATGCATTTATTCCCTTGGGAATGGACAGACTTTATTTTACTGGTGTTAAACTCAGCTTACAAACTTCTTAGTGGCCACTAATCTAATGTAATGAAAAACTGTCATTGTGTTAACTTCATTTTCAATGTGAACTCATTTCCCACGAAACGGACAGATCGTCTTAATGGGAGCTTGTGGTTCATTTTGGCCTCAAAGTGAAACACCTGCCGAGGAGTTTACTCACAGGATTTTCCCATGGAGATAACAGTTTTAAAAGAATCCTTTGTTTCAGAATGACGTTCTCTTTTCAGGAGATGAACAGCGACACCTGTTGGGCGAACATTACATGTTTTTCTACAGCTTCAGAACTGAATGTGTCATAGAAAATGTCTGTTTAAAGTAACCTCTCTAAGATAATCATGTTTATTTTTCTCCTTTTAAAAAGAAGTGTGACTTTTTAAAGGCAGGCAGTGAAAATGGACTGCTATTTTATATAAAACATGACAGAGTTTATGAACCATATCTCGTCCGGTGGGAGGTCCTAAGTCAATCTGTAACACCCAGACAGACATTTCGCCTCTTAGTTCTTCTCCACCACTTCTACTTTACACTTCACCGCTCTTCCTACATAAACGAACTTCGAGCAAACTTCAGAGAAGAATCTTCCTGCTAGTGAGATATCCTGGAAGGAAGAGAACCAGAAGCAGAACTTGGCATTAACTAAGACCCGAACCAGAACATCATGCCGCAGAGTGATAACTCCAAAGCTGATTTCAAAGGGCCAGTGATCGGACCGTGGTCCCTCCAACGGATGACCGGTGACCTTTGAGGATAAATCCTCCTTTTAAGTCACCAGTAGCATCTTAGGTACAACTGGCACCCCTCATAAGCAGTTGTGGGACCATTCTGACCATATCATTCTGGTAGGAGAAGAGAACTTAATGCCTTTCTGGTGATCATACATTCACAATAATATTAATTTAGATACACCACAGTTAATTTAGACAATTTTAACTACACCCCAACAAACCAGTCCAAATTTCTGCCATTTATAAAAAGTTACACTGAATTTAATAATCAAGTAACCTTTGACACAAGGTAATTTTGTTATTAATTTGTGTATTCATTTTTATGAATAATCTTCATCAGCTATATACATCAGAATATTATTTTTGTAATAAAATACATAAAATTCACTAAAAGTGTGATTATTTTGGCATATCAGTGTGTATTAACTGATTTGATGTCCCTTTGAACATGGGAAAATAATTCACGTTTCAGTTACATTTAATATGAGGGTAGAGACTGATATTTCCTCTGAAAAGAGGTGGTGCCCGCGTAACGAGGTTATTTGAATAATAAATGCATATCTTATGAGCTTAACTCATAACTAATAAATTATATAGATATCTGATCAACAAATCCCTCTACACCTTCATACATCTCCTCCTACATGTCTCTGTGTGAGTACAGCTACAGCATGCACTCTCAGGACATTATTACCTGCAGTGTTCCCTCAGTGAGGACTGAACTTGGCAAAAGGGCCTTCTCCTACTCCGCTCCTGTTTCCTGGAATGTCTTACAAAAAGATCTGAAGCGCTCGACCTTGACCTCTCTATGTGGCTTTAAGAATCTGTTGGACTCCTGGCAAGGACTAATGCAGACATGTTCCTGTTTTTAGTTTTCTACGTTCGCCTTTTAATCTAGCTGTTTTTGTTACTTTTTTCCCAGCCATCTTATTTGTAAAAAATAAATAAAAAAATATGTATGCCTTTTTATAACTGTCTATTGTTGTCGCTGTTGTCCACTGTTGTCATCATTCTTTGTTGAAATCAGGTCTCTCTTGTAAATGAGTCCTCGAGGCTTATTGGGATTAACCTGCCTAAATAAAGATTGAATATCTGTCTCATCCTGAAGAAAGATCATTCAGAACATTTACTCATCCTTAATCTGTCTAAGACATGCTGCAATTCAATTCAAGGTGGTGCACTGTCTGCATTGGTCCAAAAACAAGCTGTCCAAGATCAAAGCCGACCTGGACCCTGCATGTAACTGCTGTAAACAAACTCCAGCTATGCTCTTACACACACTCTGAACTTGTCCAAAGCTGTGGGGCTACTGGCAATCTATTTGATATTTTCTCTGGGATATGTGGAAAAACTGTGTATTCATTTAATTCATTTCATTGTTTGGGGTGGCCCATGTGGATGCATCCATCAGCAAGTGTGAGAGGAATATGATATTTTTTGGCTCTCTTCTAGCCAGGAGACTTATTTTATGTATCTGGAAGGATCTGCATCCCCGACATACAGTATGAACACTGGATAAGAGAAGTCATGTGTCATGTTCATCTGAAAAAGATTAAATACACTCTGAAAGGTTCTGTTGAGAGATTTTGGGACACTTGGCAGCCATTAATGTCTTATGTTGAAAGTATGTCAATGCTTGTCTAATGTGTTCATGCTTGTGTGGCTGATCCGGTGTGGGAGGGGATTTTGTTGTACGTTACTATTGTCTTTCTTTTTGTGTAATGTGTGTTCTGCAATTATTATTTTTTTCAATAAAAAGACTTTGATTAAAAAAAAAAAAGAAAAGTCCTAAAGCTTGACACTGAAAGAGTGATTTTGCTTTTATAAAAGCTTGCTATATTCAAAAGGGTGATATTTTATGAAATATATAGAGTATTGGTAGAACTTTGTACAGTAAAAATAACTTTATATTCACTTTTTTGTCAGATTGCCAGACTTGAGCTTTTTAAAATTGTTATTTTGTGGCAATATGTTGTGATTATTATGTACAGACAGCTGATAGTGATTTTTAAGGTATCATAAAATTGTGTGTATGTGTGTGTGTGTGTGTGTGTGTGTGTGTGTGTGTGTGTGTGTGTGTATGTGTGTGGGTGGGTGGGGGGGGGGTAGCTCAAAATTGGTGGGGGAGCTTACAGGACCACTAGCCACGGGGCCTATTAGCAGGTTAAGGGGGCCCTGGTTGCATGACCCTAGACAAAGGTTTATTTGTCTTTGTTTCCCATCTGGAAAGATAGTCTAAAACAGTTCATTTTAACGTTGTGAAAGTCTAAAATATTTTGGTTATTTAAAAGTCAGGTTTTCAGTTTCCCACCTGGGTCAAAGAGCTCAGGCTTGTCCCATTCCTCTTCGTCATGATGCAGTGACCACAAGTTGATGATGACTCGAGTTCCTTTCCTCACTTTGAAATCTCCAATACTACAGAAAGAACAGATGTAAACTCTCACAGAAACAATGCTCCATCTGATATCATGCATGCTGGTTTGAAATCCTTGCTAACGTTTTGGCCCCTACCTGGTGTCACTGAGGGCCACATGGGGGATAAACAAAGGAGCTACAGGACGAATCCGTAACACCTCCCTGATAGTGGCCTCCAAGTAGGGAAGACTTCCTCTGTCACTGAGCTGGGGGGACCGGTCCTCCCCAATCTTATTGTCCAGCTCCTCCTGAATACATCTCTGTACCTTAAAACAACAACAACAACAAAAATGTCTGAAATGCTCAGTTAATGCATTAGGAACTGATTTATTTTGAAATACACTAGTCTGTCTAATGAATCAAAAATTGAGAAAGTGTTTTAATCTTTTGAACTGTTCCTGTTTATGGATGTTAATGCATAAAAATATGAATTTATTATTGGGCAACAATCCTACAGCAAGGTAGGAGAGAAAGAGAAGGTTATGGACAGAGTTTTTTTTTTTTAAGTGCAAATTTATTAATGTGGCACAAGTACGATGGTGTGAGCTGTGAGACTGATTTTTTTAAAATTCACAAATAATAAGCTGTTTGTGGCTCTTATTTTTGGGGATTTGCTGTATATTGACTTTGGTTACATGATATCATAGTTTTCATCAAATCCTGAATTGGCAGAAAGTGTAGGTGACAAGTGTCAAGCCCAAGGGTGTCAGAAGCATCCGTAATGTGGGGGGGACACAATGATGTGTGTGTGTGTGTGCGCGTGCGTGCATGTGTGTGCGCACGTAAAAAAAGTATACACTAGTGAACAAAAAAGCAGCATTTCACCTAGATTTCCTTTAATTCCACACATTTAAAACATGTTTCTCACCAAGTTTGTGTAAATTCAGCTGTGGGTTTTAAAGACATTTTAACTTTAATACACTTTAATACAGATGTAGTGAACTTAACCTGATGTCAAAACTAAGCCTAAGGTCAAAATCCTTGACCTTAAGAACCTTGTGGGACAGAAACTGTCATTTCATTGAT